TGGCTCAGCTCTAATGCCACTGACCCTGCTGGCACTAAAGCCTATAACATTCCGATTTCTCAACTTCTTACTTTATATAGTTAACTTTGTAACTCGTTTTCCTGACAACCCTAATCATTTACCTTCACTCCGTGATTTATGTTTGGTCTCTGATCCTAGCCTGTCTTCAGTTTCTCCTTGTTCTCGTTTAGGTGGTTCCAACCGTGCAATGATCTTTATAAATCTTTCATCTTGTACTTCTTTTCCGTATTCACCCTATCATCACTCTACTTTCTACTACCCTAAAGCTGACTGGGATTCTTTTGGTTTCTTTTCTCTTTTTTCTCTCTGCTAATAAATATGTCTTTTACATATCCTCCTGGATCTTGTCAGGAATTGAAGTTGTTATTCCTTCTCTTAGTTCCCAAGTCAAGCTTCGTGTTACTCTATGGTTTTCACTTTCTTGTGCGTCTACTATATCTAATCTTAATCATTTTTTCCCTCTTTTTTAAAAGAACAACTCTCTGAAGAACTAACAGCTATTTATTATTGTAACAAATCAATGTAAAAAGATGTTGTTTGATGCTAAGCTCCATTATTCTCAATTCATTAAATCTCACATCTCAGAAGTTAGGCTCTAGAGACTTTTGGAAAATCTTCAACAGTGTCATTCATGGTCTAACATTCTATCTCTAATTAACTTCATTCTCATTCATAGGGCTGATCTTATTAATTATTATTAAAAAAAATTCTGTAATTTCAAATGTCAAATGTTTAAAAATTATTAAATAAAAATTTAATTATTTTGAGTATTAAATTTGAGCAATAATTTTTTTTATTTTTTTCAAACAAAGTTTTTAAGTTTTAAATTTTTAAAAGTTGTTTTAAATTTAAGTAAAAGTATAATTATTTTAATAAAGATTTAAATGCTAAATAAAGTGGAATCAAAATAGTTATTTAAATTCTTCATGGTTAAAAAAACGTTTTTGTTTTACTTTTTTGTGTTAAATTTTATTATTTGCAATAAACATGACATTAGAAGATCCAAGTTTGATCCTGACCATGTTCCTAGTTCGATCCTGACCATGTCCCTGATTCGATCCTGACCATGTCCCTGGTTTGATCCTAACCATGTCCCTGGTTTGATCCTCACCATGTCCATGGTTAATAGCACATGTTATTTCTCTATGCAACAGTCATCTTGCTTTTTCTGTCTTGTCTGTTAAAGCTTATGTTTCAAAGTTAAAAGGTTGAAAGTTGGTTGTAAAAATCTAAAAATAACTAAATAAGCAATGTTAGAAATACTGGAAAGTTGTTTGATGTAATAGAACTAGAAAAAGAAAAATCCTTGAAAATTTTTTGAGGACAATTGATGTTATGATTTCATTCATTTTAAAATAAATTTAAAAAAATAAATTTGAAAAATTTGTTTAGTCTTGTGAGAAAAACAAGACTGAAATTAAATCTTAAAAACACTTATCAAATTTTTCTTGAATAAAGAATTATTGTTATAAAAACACTTATCAAATTTTTCTTGAATAAAGAATTATAGCCTCTAGTTACTCATCGTAACTTTGTAGCGATATTTTCACGATAGGTTTTGCAGCTAACGAAATTTTCACGATTTTTAAAATGTATTGTAGCTTTAAAAATAAACAGCAACTTAACTACATAATCGACAGAAGTTTCAGAAAGGTAAAACTACAAAAATAAAAAAGAAGTTAATAATATGTAAGCCACCGCTATTGCTAGCTCTTTTTTTTTTCATATTTTACTTGTAGCTAACAAATCGTGCTGTTGAAATACGTTAATTAGTTGTAACCAATTCTTTTTTTGAATAAAATAAAATAATACAGAATCTAATCATATTAGGTCTTAAAATGTTTCAAAAGCATTAGTTTATTCATAGATTTAGTGGTATTGGTATTGCAATAGATTTCAAGACCTTTAGCATTTTAAAAAAATATTATATCTATCCCAAATAAATATTGTAGCCTTAAATAAAAGTTTATTCTTACATTGCGGAATGACAGAGATAAAAGTTATAAAAGTTTTACACATTCATTATCATTTCTTTGATTGCTGTCATGAGTTTCTAATTTTATATAGTTACACTTATTCTTTTAACTTTTTTTAATGATGATGTTTATATGATGATGCCTTTTTATAATAAGCCATTAGAACTTATGAAATAAAATAATTGAAGTTATATTTTGAAACGAATGAGATAAAAACATTTTGAGATTGTGAATAAAGTAATAAAATTTATTTCTAAAATCTAAAAAAAAAGTTAATAAATTAGTTAAAAAATAAATAAAAAAAGAATTTAATTAGTTAAAAATAGTTAGAAATATTTTATAAATAATAATGTAAATAATTGACTTAAAACTGTTTGACACAATAGACATTTTATATGGCAATGCCATATAAAACTTGGTATGGTGGTGGTCATGTAGGAAGCGACCAGGGTTGACGTTTAACTTGGGCTGGGGCCAGGTTTAATGAAATATAGCTGGGGTTGGGTTTTATGACCGGGGCTGCATAAACATTTATACATCCTTAAATATATTATTTTAATTCAAAATTCATGTTAAATTTATATATATATATATATATATATATATATATATATGCATATATAAACATCATTATGATCAACATGATCATCATACTTTATGTTACCGTCATCAAAATCATCATCATCAGGTTTTAGCCTTCCTCTTTTATGCTGTTTCTCTAATATAAATAATCTACAGCATTTTCTTTTTTTAACTGAAGCTCATTCATACAATATGTAAGGCACTCTCTTCAGGTTTTCCTACTGCTACCACTACCATTTTCTCCTGAAGCTGTTATCCTCTACTTGCTGGTACCTAAATCACTTTAATCTTCTCTAACAAATTTTGTTTGATAAAACGTTTTTTTCTAATCTGTCTAAGATTATGCCTTCTTTTCTTGTCTTGTTAGAGTCACACCACACACCCATCTGATCATCTTCTTGTTTGGCAAATACTGCGCCATATAAATATTAAAGTTTATATAAATATGTAAAAATTCTATGCCAGCTTCTAAATAAGTAGCAAACATGTTTATACCCATATCATGTATGCATAAATGCACATCTTGGAAGCTCTTATTCTTTCTAGAATAAAAGTTCACTTTTAACCTCCTGATTGTTTGTTTAACCTCCTGATTGTTGTTCCTTCTCTTCAATTTAAAGTCAAGCCTTATTCTACATTTTTCACCATCTTGAGCAGTTGCTTTATTTAACATTAATCTTTTTTTATCTTTTTTACAAGAACATCTTTTTTAAGAACAAATGTGCTTTTATTATTGTCTGATGTTAAGCTCTGTTATTCTCAGTTTACTAAATCTTATATCTTATCTCAGATGTTAGATTTTAGAGACTTTTGGAAAGTCTTTAACAGTGTCAATAACTAAAGTCTTACATTTAATCTCTATTTCATCAGTCTGATCTTTTTACTTCTCCTTAGAATTTGACTGTAGTTATTTGAACTTTTAACTTGACTCTTGAATGTAATGTTCATACTCTGTCATATTTATGTCATATATATTCCTCCATACTCTTATGTCATATATATTCCTCCATACTCTCCCTATATATTCTTCCATACTCTTATGTCATATATATTCATTCATGTCATATATATTCCTCTATACTCTTATGTCATATTCTTCTTGTCATACCAGTTAAACAGTAATCTGTTAACTGGTATAAAAAGACTGTAAAAGTCTTTTTATTCATATTTGGATGTTTAGCAACGGGCTGTTAGCCCATTGCTAAACATCCAAATATGAATAAAAAGACTTTTACAGTTTGTGCTTCAGACAAGAATTCCATTAAAGTCATAAAAACATTTTTAGTTATAGTTTCCATTATAGTCATAAAAAAGTTTTTCTCTTCAAATTTTGCTAAATTATTAAAAAGTGCTAAAGAAGTGGTTCCAATTTTTAAAAAATCTAGAAAATATTTTGACTTCTCTAACTATCCTACAATTAGTCTTCACTCTGTTATTAGTTTCTTTATATAAACTTTTTGAGATTATTAAATTATTTATTTCTAACTACAGTATTAAAGTTATTCTTTAAGACCTACACTCTTCTTCATTTTAAGTAACTAAAGTTTTTTTTTCGCTCGTATATTGTTTCTTATCTGCAATGTCGATCTTCATGAAACTTTTACATCTAAAGTGGCTCTATTTGCTGACAACTCGACTTTATATTTTTGTCTTGGCAAAAAGTTTTCACTTTTTGATTGCTTAGAACAAGCAGCTGATTTTTAATTTGATATTTCTTCTGTAACAGCCTAAGGCTTGCAGTAGCTTTTGGATTTTAAGTCTGGACAGCAAAACTCGTTTATTTACTGCAAAAAAGTATTGAAATTTTTGTTGGCATTTTTATAATGACAAATAACAACCCTCTTACTCTCAGACAAAGTCTAAAAGCAGGTTGTAAATGTAATAAGACCTGCTTTATCTGCCAAGCTTGAGCCACTCTCCCATTCTTATAAGGTTGCATTTTTTTCTTTTTTCTACAAATACTATCATGGTCAATCCTCAAACAAGCAATTTTTTCTAACTCATTCTTGCGTATTTCTTATTCAACAAGATGCATCCTTTTACTGTATCTGTCCTTTTATTCTAAAAAAACTAATATTTACAGTATTTTTCTTGCACATCAAAAAACCTTACAACTCTTACCCATCTTCACAATTTAGACAAAAGGTAAAAATCTTTTGCTTAATTTGTGGTAGGTTAAAAGAATAAATCAATTCTTTCAATGTGTCAGACCAATTGTCACTGTGATTAGAAACATATTATAGATGAGATGATAATGATTGATTAGAATCATATTATAGGTAAATGCAATTAGAATGGCACAAAACATATTATTGTGCATATTTTATTAAAAATACTTTTTAGTTTATTTTGCAGGTTTCAAAATTTAGTGTTTCAAAATAATGTTGACCAAACAAAACTAAAATTTTATATATTTTATAGGTAGACAGAGTTCATGAATGGGTTGCTATTATACCAAATGCTCAAGTTATTGTTATTCCTTATCCAAAAGATTCTCCTTCAGAGTAAGCTTGTTTATAATTTTTTTTTATTTTTTTTTTTATTTTGATTAAATGATTAAGATAAAATAAAATAAAAATTGAATAAAATTACTGTAAAATTGATATAAAACTACTGCAAAATTGATATAAAAGTAGTAATTTTCAGTAGAAAAGCAAGATGAATCAATTAGCAAGTTAATGAAGGCAAAATTAGTTCATGTTTTAATAAAATTAAAAAGTGAATTTGTGTGGATTTGTGACTGTCATGTTAGGCTTGTTTACTGTTAAAAAGGGAATTTATATTTTGAAAAATTGTCAGGTCAGGTGTATGGTCATCATGATCCACCCTGCTACTGTTAACATGTAATCCAGTGGAACCTGTTCCATGAAACAGGTTGGAAGAAGTGTGTGTCATTTATACTATCTGTAATGCCAATAGTAATATTATAGTATTATCTGTAATGCCTATAGTAATATTATAGAACAGTATACAAATTATAGTTATATAGTGTATAAATTATAATATATAATTTATAGTTATAAAAATTATATATATATTTTTTTTTTGTCTTATATAGTTAACAGTTTCTAGAGATGCACAAAAAACTGTTTTTTTTTTTTTTTTTTTTTTTTTTTTTTTTGAGTTTTAGATTTTTTAAATTAAAAAAACTTATTACATATTATATTAAAATTTATAATGTCAACAATTAATACAAAATTTTAAATAATTATTCAAAAAATAATTTAAATCATTAATTTATTAGGTTGCCACCAACCTCACTAAACATACAAAATATTTAGTAAAGTTGGTTCATTAACTCCATTTAGCAACATTATCCAGATTAAATCCTTGTATTTGACTGAGTCATAGATTGACATTATAACAGGTTAATGACATTATGATTGACATAATGACATGTTTAGACAAATATTTATTGCAGTATATTATTGGAGTGGAGCCATTAAATAATAAAGGCTAGATTATGATTTATTAAGTTTTTAAAGTAATTTGTTTATTACAAGCACCTTGGTGTCATCAGCAAAGTGAAAAGCAGTAAAAAAAGAATGAAAGAAATGTGAATTATTTGGTTCATTGATAAAAGAAGAAGTGTGGTAAGTAATAATGGATCCAATAATAATCCAAGTAATAATCTAACTTTATGGAACACTTAAAGATTGTTTTAAAGATATTAGATTTAACTAGTTAATATTCAGATGTACATAAATAGAAGATAAACCAGAGAAGACCTCTAGCATTCTACCGTTGCAGTTTATTAAGAAAGCTTTTTTTTGCTTAACAAATGCTTTCTTAAGTCAACAAATACTCTACACTCAAAAAAGTTTTTTGTTCATGGTTTTTCTGTTATTACAGTTAGCAAGTTGTCAAGTATTTCTGTTAGCAAGTTGTAAAGTATTTCTGTTAGCAAGTTGTCAAATATTTTTACAATGGTTCTTAGCAGTAATAAACAGAAATTTGTTTTCTGGAGAATTGTTTTGCTGATAGATATGGAAGTAATGATTTCGATTGGCAATTGCAGCAGCGCAATCCACAATCACAGAAAGAGCCCCAGTCAGCTTTAAGGTAGTTGTAAGATATACGATGATAGGGAGATAAAGATGATGATAAAGAAGAATGAAATAATAGTTTTAGAGAGATCAAACTGTGATCAGAGGCACCTAAGGGTGAATGTGGAGAAAATGAGCACTGACTAGAATCAGAAACAACAACAAGGTAAATTAGTCGGTTTGTCTGTAAAGCGAGTTGAAAAGTTTAATATTTGAGTTAGGGATTGAGAAAGGCAAAAGTTATGGGCTTTAATGCCTGCAGAGTCCCATATGTACCAAAAAAGCAATCAGACAAACTTACCTCAGTGTTGCCCAATTGAAAATTTCTTCAGATATTTGAGTTTGTTAGTATACAAAAACAACTAAAAAGCTAAGAATTGCAAAGAATTGATTACCTGAATCAAAAGATGCATTTGTCAAATTGATATAAATGCTGTACAATGCTTCTGTTCCAACATCATGATAAAACTACATCAAACTGCTGGTGATGAACCATATTCGAATGTTCATTATTTTTTTCTTAAAAATAAGTGATGTACCTTCAATTAAAATAAATATAACTTTTATTTTCTAAACATTTGTTTTTATTATAATAATATAATATGAAAATTCTCATTTTTTAGTTATCACCTGTTATATCTAAGTGCAATTTCATTAATTATTTTGTTATTTACTATTTTTTTAAATATATATACATACATACATACATACATACATACATACATACATACATATATATATATATATATATATATATATATATATATATATATATATATATATATATATATATATAGTTAGGGTTTTCCCAAAAAATAACCTTTTTGAAAAATATATGATAAAAAAAACAACTGGTTTTTGAATTTTTGAATAAAAAATATTTTCCAGGATCCCTCAAGACCCTTGAACATAACAAGTTCCAAATATTATCAAAAAAAATTATTTAAGTGTATCATGTTGGGTCTCAACTGAAGAAAAATTATATGAAAAGTTTTATGTTAGGTTTAACACCATAAAAAATGAGGTTTATTAGCTAAAATAGAAAAATGCGCATTCTTACCAATTTTCAATAAGTTTTATATAATATTTCAAATTTTCATATAATTTCACTTAATTTGAGACAAGATTTTTTGTTTGTTGATAATATTAGGAACTCGTTATATGTTTAAGGTTCTTACTCCAAAAAATACTTATTATTTAAAAAATTTTTAAAACCAGTGTTTTTTATCATATAAAATACAGGTAGCATATATTTTTTTGGCAGCATATATTTTTTCTAAATGTTATATAGTGGCAGCATATATTTTTTTAAAATGTTATTTCCAAACTCTGTGCTAGCTCTCAGAGAGGCTGATTCCATCAACAGCTGCAAAATATCAGAATGTTAACAGTGTCGTGTTGCGCATAGATGGTGTCCCTATTAATGTTTTTGGCTTGCGTTGTCAAGGCTACATAAGAAGCCCTATGTTATGACTTAGGATTAATTAACAAGACTGAGACAATTGCAAAGCTCATTGCCTGGGAGACCATGCTCTATCTATAAATGATTTAAGTTATTTTAAACATAAATATTCCAAAAGTAAATCAAATTGATAAACATAAAAAACCATCCTCATCACCTGACTGTTTTAATATATCTTTTACTAATATTCACGGTCTGCGAAGCAACCTCCCATCAGTTGAATCAACCTCCCATCAGTTGAATCTTGCCTTTTGCAAAATTCACCAGACTTCTTCTGATCTCAATGTTGATGGGTACTATCCTTTGATTCACAAAGACTCCAATAGTCACATGCTTGGCTTGGGAATATACATACGCATCAAATCAGCTATTTGTTGTGAAATCTGGTTCAAATCATTTGACCATTCCTTTATGTACTTTCGCTTAGCACCTCTTTACTCTGTCACCTTTCTCTTTGTTCTTTATTGTTCTCAAGAACATCAAGATCTTTTTCCCAAGACTGAATGATCAAAACTTCCCAAGAATTCTCTTCTTCCCAAGACTGCACTCTTTTAGATATAATTGAGCATGCTCTCTCCTTTAACCCTCTGCTAATATTGTTATTATTAGTAACTTTAATGCTTATCACACTGAATGGCTGGTACTCAAGCCTATAACTTCTGCATTTCTTAATCTCTTACTCAGACAGTTAACATTGTGACTTGTTTTCCTGAAAACCCTAATTATTTACCTTCACTCCTTGATTTATGTCTGGTCGGTCTGATCCTAGCTTGTGTTCAGTTTCTCTTTTTTCTCCCTTAGTGGTTCTGACCATGTAATGATCTTTTTAAATCTTTTATCTCCTACTTCTTTTTCAGATTCATCACTACTTACTATTACTCACCCTCTTGTGAAGTCTTTTGTCGTGAAATCAGGTTTGAACCTTTTGACTAATCTTTGATGTGCTTCCGATTAGTACCTCTTCACTCTACCATCTTTCTCTTAGTTTTTTATCGTTTTTCTTCTTACCAAGACTGCACTCTTAGATGTAATTTCTGATCAAATTGACTATGCCCTCTCTCTTTATCCCTCTGCCAATATTGTTGTCATTGGTTACTTTAAAATTCCTCATACTGATTGGCTCAGCTCTAATGCCACTGACTTTGCTGGCACTAAAGCTTATAACTTCCCAATTTCTCAACTTCTTATTTATATAATTTTATATATAATATATAATTTTAACTTGAATAATCGAAATAAAATTTTAAATCAAGCCATTGCCAATATAAAGACAAGAAAAGAGAGGGAATCAAATTTAATAATTGTGGGACTCCAAGAGTCAACAACGAATAAAGATGAGGAACTAGTCAAAGAGTTTTTTGAAGCCATTGATGTTGACCTGAATGATATTCTACATATACGCCGATATCGAAAGAAAGATAACATGAAAAAGGAAAATGAACTTAACAAACAAAAATCAATAGGAGTAATTCAGGTAGTTCTCAATTCATTCGATGCTAAACAAATTGCACTTATGAAAGGCAAACCTTCATGGACAAGACGCATATTCAGGAGTTTACACTTGCGAGGATCGAACCCAAGCAGAGCATGATGCATTTAACAAACTATCTGCAGAAAAGAAGAAAAAAAATGAGAATCTACAAAAAAAAAATTACTAGACACGCCCTTTTGGTGGATCATCCATTGACGCATTAGAACTGTTAGATGTATCGATACCGTTAAATCTAGTAACAACAAGAAATGTATCTGGATTACAAAAGAACAGAGCTCGCAAATTAAAACTGCATGAAAAACTGCATAAATCCAACACAATTAACTAAAATAACTGAAATACCCAAGCGCCACCCGAATCCACCGCTTTTGAAACATAAACATTCTAACCACCAGTCAATTTTAACACAATTTAGGTCAAACACTTGCAATAGAAAAAAACTAAACTTTTGGGCAAACAACCCATGCTCTCTTAACGGCGCCAAGAGAGACGAGCTAATAGCTA